CATCATACTACGGATATCATTTCAATATAAACACTATCCTTTGTACTCTTATTTATTTAAATTTATGTTATTGTTTATTATAGTTACTAGATGTTAAATTATTTAACAGTTGTAATAAATATTGTAATTAAAAAAAAGTTAATTTATTATCAAATTCGTTTTATCTCAAATAGGAAACGATAAGTAAACTTCATTCAACAAACTCGAATAAAAACAGAAAAAAATCCACGGTTGTATCGCGTTAACTTGAATGTTTGTTTTAAAAATACCCGTCCTGATTTTAGGATTTCGGAGAATAGTAGGATTTTGTAGGAGTTACGTATTTAGAATAACGTAAAACCAAAGAATTTCTATCATAATTAAGTTGTTGGATAAGGCGAACCAGGTGCTCTTGTTAACTAGAAGATATTAATGGAAAATACATTTTTGAATCAGACAGATACTGAATTTTATATAAAAATGTACTTTTACACATCGTATATTTAACTTCGTAGGGCAAGTTATAGTAATCGCAAAAAAATCGAAAATGAAAATTTTTATATATATTTACGTTCCAACGGTTTCTGAACATTTTGGCATACCTTAGAAAAATTGAGGTATGTGTGTGTGTGAGTGTGAATGTGTGTATGTGTGCGGATACAAGTTTTTGTCGACGATTTCGGGAACACGGATCAACCGATTTAAATAATTCAAAATACATTCGATTCATATTGATAAGGAGACGTGCTGATTAGTTTTTGGCGAAGGCAGGTCTAGCCGTTTAGTAGATAAAAGTGCGATTTCAACAATTCAAAAAACATTTTACTTGTATTGACAAGATGAAGAACTGATTAAATTTTTGGGACGGCAGGTTTAGCGGTTATGGACTCTCAATAAAAATAAGTTAAAAAAATTTCATTTGGCGGTCAAACATGTTTATTAGACTTATTTTATGGAGATTTTCATAATGTGTACACAACTTCCCTACTAAGATTATTAATTACGGTACGGGAAGTTCCAGAAATTTGCCTTAAGACACGATGCCATGCACCCCACTAGTTATGTTTATATATTTTGATTAACATAATACTGTTTTTATCGTAATTGACCTATGATTTTTTTAAATTATTGAACTTTTTTATAAGAGGAACCAGGGTGCTTTTGTTAACTAATTTATTGGGAAAAACGTTTTAGAATAAGACTTTCGATATTGATTTATTTTTTGTGATGAAATGCAATTTATATTACATATTTATATTATAAAGTTATAAATGAAAACATATTTTATTATCTGACATTTCATGCTGAATTTTATATAAAAATTGCACTTATATGTCCTAATTAACTTCCCGTAGGGTAAGTTATTGTAATGGGCCGAAAATCGAAATTGAAAATTTTTACATTTCTCGACGTTTTGAAGGTTTCTGAACATTTTGGCATACCTCAGAAAAAATTGTGTGTGTGTGAGTGTGTATGTATGTATGATACAATTTTTCGTCCACGTTTTCGGGCGCACGGATCAATCGATTTGAATGGTTCAAAAAACATTCGATTCCTATTGATAGGGAGATGTGCTGATTAGTTTTTGGCAAAGGCAGGTCCAGCGGTTTCGGAGATACAGAGCTAAATGTGAAAAATGGCAGTTTTTGAGAAAACTAAGCTTCTGATTTGAATGATTCCAAAAACTTTCTGCTTGTTTTAACAAAATAATTGATTTTGGAAAAAAAAGTTTTTGCCTCAATTTTTTTTTTGTATATCGAAAATAATTCAGATTTTTATTTTAATTGTGTTCTAATATACTTAAAACAAATAATTTCAACTTTCCAATTTAGTTTATATAATTCTTATAAATATAAATAGACAATGTTACAATATTTATAATAATCTATTTTAAATCATTTAATATTCCTCGATCATTTCGTTACGGTACGGGAAGTTCCAGCAATATGCCTTAAGGCACGATGTCATACACCCCACTAGTTTTATTATTTTACTTAACATATTTATACAATAATTTTCTGCAATTGCAATCACATAATGTTGAAATATACATCAGGGTTATAAATATATAGTTCAAAGCTGTTAAATTTTTTTACGATATTTTATTTTTATTAGAGCAATTACAAAACCATAAAACTTTTGCAATGGTATCATTTTACTATAAAACCGTTAAATTGGTGGTTTAATTTTACAATGCTATTAATTTTCTGTAAACATGATAGTCTAATAAAATACGTTTTGTGTTTTTGTTCATTAAGCAATACGATTATAAAAATTTGAAGCAAAATCTATCTGCATATAAATGCCAGTAAAATGGTGAGCCAATAAAATTTAAAATCGGCTCAGCAGTTTAGGTATCTATTCCGGACCAACTTTGTAACATATTTTTGTGTATATATGTAATAATAATGAGAGCAGTAAAAAAGTATTTAAAAATACGATTTCCATCCCCCTGTTCCAAAAATCGACAGATGTATCATCATTTCGAGGGAATGGGTTCGAGCCTGTCACCTCGTATGTGCACCCATTGCCTATTAATGGGTTTATATATCGAGTAACAATTTAAATTCAAATTTTGTTGGGGGCTGTGAAAACATCCCCAAACACCCTCCAAAATGTATGACACGATGGAAATGAATATTTGAATATTTTAATATCGAATATTGATATGAATATGAATATATATATATATATATATATATATATATATATATATATATATATATATCATTTTATTAGATTGCACATCGGTTGTGTAACGAAAACACCCCATAAATTGAATCAAAAACTGTTTTATGAAAATTTGAATTTAAACGATGTGTCAGTTGAATTGTAGATTTTATTATAGATTGTAGTAAATGTGAATACACAGATTTATAAATATATTTTTGATTATTCAAAATTTATTTCTTGCTTCCCGAACAAGTTTATGTTCTAGTCCAAAAATACGATTTGCTCATTTTCAATTATTATATACATATGCAGCGAGCATTTAATTTTTATCTTTCTTGCCTATAAAATTTTGTGAGCAATTTATACTGAAAATTCAATATTTTGTATTTTAATTCCAAATCCGACTTTCTAAATTTTCAATTATTATAAATGTATTTTTGATTATTCAAAATTTATTTCTTGCTTCTCGAACAAGTTTTTTTATTATTTTTATTTTTATTATTATATGCATATTCAACGAGCATTTATTTTTTATCCTTCTTGCCCATTGCCCATATTTGGGGAAATTTAAACTAAAACATTAGAAAATTCAATATTTTGTATTTTAATTCAAAATTCGACTTTGTAAATTCTCAATTATTTTTAATTTAAACGACGTGTTTGTTAAATCGTAGGTTCTATTATAGATTGTTGTAAAAATGAATACAGATTTTATATTTTTCAAATTTATTTTTGATTATTTAAGAAATTATTTTTATTATTGTGTTAAGGAATATAAATTCCTTAACACAATAATAAAAATAAACTAAAATATTAATTTTAGTTCAGAAATTACGATATGCTAATTTTTATTTATTATATACATATGTAAAAATAGTTCTTTTTATGCATATTCTAATTTTTTTATTTAGCTTAAATAAGAATATTCAATATTTTGTATTTACAGAAATTCCGACATCCTAACTTTTTATTAACTTCCCGTAGGGCAAGTTATAGTAATCGCAAATGAAAATTTTACATATCTTTACGTTTCAAAACTTTCTGAATATTTTGGCATACCTTATAAATAATAGATGTATGTGTGTGTGTGCGGATACAAATTTTCGACGACGATTTCGGGAGCACCGATCAACCGATTTGAATAATTGTAACCGATTGCAACCGATTCGTATTGATAAGGAGACGTGCTGATTAGTTTTTGGCACAGGCAGGTCTAGCCGTTTTGGAGATACGGAGCAAAGAGTGCAGAAAATAGAAATAAGTTTTTGAGAGATCGGAGCGTCCGATTTTAATAATTCAAAAAACATATTACTTGTATTGACAAGATGAAGAACCGATTAAATTCTTGGGAAGGCAGGTCAAGCGGGTTCGGAGATCTAGTCAAAAAAAGTGAAAAAATGCCTTTTTGAGGACAAAAATGATTATTAGACATACGCACGTCAAATTAACAGATATTTTATGAAGATTTTAATAATGTGTATCAATTTTGTTTACTTATCTATGGGTTTTCTTAACATCGTTTGCCCGTTAGACGGCGACGCGGCGCTTACGCGCTTCGATATTGCATTTCTATGCAGCTAAAGCAGTTCGATTGCTTTGAAATAAGTTCAAATTTTCCAAAATATTAAAAAATAAAAAAAACATTTTTTTCCAAAAGTTTTTTTTCAAGTCATTTTTTTCAAAAATTTAAAATCTCTCAAAAATCGAATTTTTTCAAAGTTTAAAACAAATTTAATCTTTTTAAAAAAATCGATTTTTGGTACGGGTAGTTCCAGCAATTTGCTTTAAGGCACGATGCCATACACCACCAGTTATTTTTAATTGAAAGCAAAAAAAAATATTTACAAAATAAACAGTTCAACTATTTTACCTTAATAGCTGAATTTCAATTCCTTTTAATTAAGATGATTATATATAGGTATATTTATGCAACTTGCCTTATGACAAAATGCCACTTATTTTGTTATAACAAACATTTTTTTTATTAACTTTCTAAATAGCAATCAGAACGAGTTACAACTATATAAGCTATTGTGATGTATGTAACTCAAATACAGTATTTGAGTTCAAAACAAAACAAAAATAAAGATATGTAAAAATAATTTGTTTAGAAAACTCCCCGTTCAGAGTTTCTAAAATGATCATTCAAATTAGGTAAGCTGGTTGCTTTATAACAAACATTTAAATTACTTTATAGAAAAACTGTGAATATATATAATATGATATACCTATAGAACTTTTTAAAACAATCATGATAATCAAATGACACTAACTCATATAAAACCAAAAGACAATAGTTATATAAAATATATAAAAAATTTAAGAAAACACAACTGAAATCTTTTACCATGAAGCCGCCACCGAACAATTCAAAACGCGCGCCTCTGAGTCCTCTGGACAACTTCAAAGCAATCCTGTTTCACAATGCAAGTGTGTTTTCAAAATCCGGAAACACGTCGCCTCTATCGGCGGATAGTGGAATCATAAACGGATTTGCATCTGGTGGAACTTCCGACAGCAATAGTTGCAGTTTTAGCGAACTTTCTTCTCCTGATAATAATGGACAAGGTACTTGCATGTCGCCAAATGGTAATGGGAGGAAATTTGACACAAAATCAGGCGGAGGAGGTGGAAATATCAAACCAGATGGTAATGGAGTTAAAAGGGTCCATGGTTCACCCTTCAGCGAACTTTCTTCTCCGGATGTCAACAAAGGTTTCGATAACTCTGGGCCAGGTACTTGCATTTCACCAAATGGCAATGGTAGGAAATTTGATACAAAATCAGGCGGAGATGTTACACCAGATGGTAATGGGCCTAAAAGGGTTCATGCCAATGGCCCTAAACGCCAAGGTTCACCCTTGGAAAAAAATGTACCAAAGTGTATATCCACCGAAACCAACGTCAACTCTTGTTTCGAACACGTTTCCAAAAGATCTTCAGCTATTTTGGACTTGGGTAAAACCACACCTAATGCTGATAGGAATAATTTAGTCGACGACAATGTGCACGTTACCACTACCGCCTTTATGGCAACTCCTAATAATAACTCCTACACCAACAGAAGTAGTTTCATCCTGGAACAATCTGGTGGCAGCGTGACACCAAACAACAAATTTTATCCGGATACCACCAACAGAAGTAGTTTCATCCTTGAACAAACTGGTGGCAGCGTGACACCAAACAACAAATTTCATCCAACAAATAGCTTTATCTCATCACAAAATGCTGAAACAAACGGGTTTTACCCAGACACCTCCAAATTTTACCCGATATCAGTGGACAATCGTTTTCAACCAATTACAAGGAGAATTGATTCTCCTTTAGGGTATAAACAAAAGTGCAAAAGTGGTAGTGCTACTCCTGTGGATTCTGGAATAAACAGGGATTCCAGTAGGAGATTTTCTGGAAGCAGTTTTAATGGTTTCAGTTCGCCTAATGGAAATACGAGGCGGTATGGAGAGTTGGCACATTGGAGATGCACGAAAAGGTAAAGGATAAGAAAATTTTAAAATTATTTGTTTTTTGTTTGGTAATTAGGTAAATGATTTTTTGTGTAAATGTTTTACAGAAGGGTGATGACAAAATTGAATATGTTTTTTCCTTTTTAGACAACTTCAAGTGTTTATATTTCAAATATAGTTCAAACAAAATTTAAGACAGAAATTTGATTTGCATATTAAGGTTGAACAAATTTTATTCCAATATTAGATGACTCGACAGACGTTGTCCTATACCCATGTCTGCAAGTTTTTAATATAATATACTAATATTTACCGTTTACCTAATAATTATAATTATTGTTTTTTAAATTACTCTTCACGCCAAAATGCATATACATTTATAATATGAGCGATGGTAAATGTAGAACTGCTTTAAATAAATTGACGAGTCTCAATGCCCACACTATATTGGAAATTGAAGTATTTTAAACGGTATAACATAACCATAACCATAACATAATACTGGTACTTAATTTAATTTTTTAGTATTTAAGATATCCAAAATTGCATCTTAAACTTCTCCTAATCGATATCGTGAGGGCCGAATTTTATGTATTCATCTTTACTTTCCCATTTGTTGTTATAAAGTGACATTTTTACGAATTTTAAAACTATTGTGGAAAGATTAGTAAAAGATGCAAAGAAATTATATATTGAAATAAAAACTGTATTGAAAATTTAATATCCGAATCTTGTGTCGGCGCCCCCTAAGGCGAGCGCTCGTATTTTTCGCATGCATCGCATTAAAGGTAGGACCGGCCCTTATTAATATCTAATTTCATATTTTAAGTGAATTAGTTTGTCATATCCTGTTCATATGTGTATCATTCAATCTGCCATACATATACTGTATCTTATATTATTTTAATTTCTGGCACATATCAGCTGCTTTTTGACAATAATAATGTAGACATTTCATTTTTTTATTCATAATTATAAATTTATTATACATGTTCTAATATTGTATAGGTTCATAAGTAAATTGAAACATGTCGAAACATGTCGAAAAAACAAAGAATGGCATGTCGTTTTTTGCAATTTTTTCCATTTATTTCTACAATATTGCACATACTTCACAGTACTTTATAATCACATACATCCTAGAAAATTTCCTTAACAAACTTCAGAAAGATTTATCAAAATCCGAATAATCGTTTCGGAGGAGTATACAGTAATTGCTTGTAATTTAATATGAACTTCATATAATAGCAATGAAGCTCAAATTGATTCTACATTTTAGTTAGAAAACGTTTGTATGAGAAAAAGAAAAGGGCTGTTTTTAGGGTTTTTCCGGCAATTATTCGATTTTTTTCAATCGTAAGAATCATGATTTAGCAAGTGTTTACTTGTTTATTTGCATTCATAATATGATTTAAATTTGGCATAAATCAATTTGAAAATTGGAACTTGGCATTTTATATTATTACTGTCTTAAGTTTTTGATAAAAATATCAAATATTTTTGTTATAAAATACAATTGGTTGAATTGGTAAATAAGTTTACTATAAAGCGTATAAAATTGTTGTGAGTTTCAGAATATTTACATATATTTGTTTGACATAAGATATTCATAACTAATGCATTTTTCTCAATTCATATCCCATCTAGTTCATTTTTTTAATATTTTCCTAATATGACCTAAAAAAAATCCGGCACCACCAACTCGAGTAAAAGAAGCAGAAAAGATCAAGTAAATATGTTTGTCCCAACTAGTCCATTTTTTTTTAATCTTCTCTTAATATGACCTAAAACATTTTCGGAACCTCCAATTCTAATCAACTCAAGTACTTCCAAAATTATCAGAAATTTCTTAAAACAAACAGAAATTATATCAAGTACATATGTATGTCCCAACTTGTCAATTTTTTTTAAATATTCTCCTAATATTACCTACAAAAATCTTGCATCTCCGATTCTAATCAACTCAAGTACTTCCAAAATTGGCAGAAATTTCCGAAAACTAGCAGAAATTAGATCAAGTAAATATGTATGTCCCAATTTGTTTCTTTTTTTGAATCTTCTCCTAATATTACATAAAAAAATCTGGCATCTTCAACTCGAATCAACTGAAATAATTCTAAAATTGGCGCACATTTCCTAAAACAAGCAGAAATTAGATTAAAGTAAATATGTATGTTCCAACTTGTCCATTTTTTTAATCTTCTCCTAATGTTACCTAAAAAAATCTGGCATCTCCAATTCGAATCAGCTCAAGTACTTCTAAAATTGGCAGAAATTTCTTAAAACAAACAGAAACTAGATCAAGTAAACATGTATGCATTTAAATTCTTCATTTATATTCTTAGTATATTTATGATATTTAAAGGACATTTCGGAAATATACATTTCATATATTTTCATCCTCATATGATTGGTCTTTCCTTTTTATTAACTTCCAATTTTTATTTGCATCGAAGTTGGCATAAATATGAATTAGAAGTAGAACTTATTGGTGACAAATTTCATATTCTATGGTTAGTTTTATAAAAAATTTCCGAAATTGAATACAATTAGTCGAAAAGCCGAAAAATAGTAAAAATTGAAAATCAATTTACTGTAAACTGAATGGAGTAGTAGTTGTCTACTTAGCTTAAGCTCACACGCCATATACTTGATTTAGGATATTTCTAATTAGCACATATTAGCAACCTTTTGGCTCGACTTTATTTCATTTACATTATTCTAATCATTTTCCAAAATGACCCAAAAAAAATTCCTCCGGCACCTCCAACTCAACAGTGGAAGTAATTCCTAAACCCGTTGCCAACTTTTCCCTTAAACAAATAACATTTTTTTATTTCATTTGCTATTTGCTGCCTTCACATATGGCTAGTGTGATTTATCTTGAAATTTTGGCAAATGTTACGACAATAAAACTTGCAGAAGATGTAAGTGGACTGTTGGCCTAATTTTGACGCGGAAGGATAGTTTTAGTCATTGTCCTGGAATCCAGATAATAAAATAGATAATATAATAATAATTTAGAGTTAATGCACAATAAAGATATTTATAGAAAACTAGATGACCCGACAGACGTTGTCCTGTACCCACATCTACGTTTTTGCAATATCCTATACTAATATTTACAGTTCAGTTAAAAATAATAATTATTGTTTTTCAAATTATTATTTACACCAATATATGAGAGATGTTAAATGACGAACTGCTTCAGATAAAATGATGGTTCTCAATGCCCACAGTTAATACATTAATTATCCCTTTAACAAATATTAAAATATATTCAATGAAATTGTATATTAAAAATTATAGACTGTAATTTATAGTACAAATTTATTCCCAATAGCTCAATTTATTTTAATGCCAAGGTTTATACAATTTTTTAGTTATACCTGTAGATGTGGATGTATAAATGAAAGATTTTTTATTTATTCACGACTAAAACATTGATTTTTCAAATGTATCACACGAAAAATCATCGTCTGCTTTTGTGATTTATGGTCATAGCATAAGATTTACACGTATTGAAAATAAAAATCTTTTAAAAGGTATAACAAATTCAGAAAGAATTAATAGCATTCGCGATAAAGGTACAATATCACCTTTGATTTTTCTACCCAAAATAATTGCTTCAATAATGTTGCCTATAATTTTTATAATTTTGTACCATATTTTAACTGGCCTTTAGTAATTTTAATATCTAAATTACATTTTCTCACTAATAATTCAATATACATTATTACTAAAATTTATATTTGAAGTAAATTAATTTGTTAAATCTTGTTCACATGTGCTCTATTCAGCCTACGATCAACAAAATTATTGCAGTAAATGGAGAGGAAAAAAGCGTGTGCCCTGCGATTTTTTTTACTGTGCTCCAATTTGCTTGATATTTTGGAAATAGGCTACTCTTAATCTTAAGTTCAAATCTTTCAATTCTGATTTTATCAGAACTTATAATATACTATTTTAAAGGTAATTAAATGACCTACAACTTTCTCTATCATAAATTTTACCGTAACTTCTCTTGTTTTGAAACGGCGACGGATTAAACGGCTCGAAAGACACTCTGGTTGGACATCCGCGCACTTTTTTAAACAATCATAACTCTATCAATATTTGTGTAACAGAAAAATTTTAAAAAGCAATAATTAGTCAGAAAAGGACCTTGAAATTTCATCTATAAACCTTTATACGTATCTTTTATTCTTTCAGAGATATAATAATGAGAAATTGGTTGTTTTTTTTAATAGATTTTTTTTCATGAAATCATGAGCTTTTTGGAAATTTGTACTAAAGTTGTGGTATTTTCTAGAATCCATCAAGATCTCTTAAACCAAGTTAATTCTAGAGGGAATACGATTTTTTTTAATTTTGGTGGAACTGGTACTCATAAACTATTTGATTTAAATGGAAAAAATATTGTATGCGTCCTTTATCTGCATGATAGCTCACTCATTTTACACGCAGAAGTACTCATTTTAAAGCTTATTTTGAGCACTATGAAACCTCATTTTCATATCTAGCCTAATATTGTTCCTAGAACACTTTATAGAACACCGATTTATTAAGATTTTAATTGATATAATTTTGTTCATTACATGATTTTCGTAAAAGTGTATATTTTTAGAAATATTTGCAAAAAACGATGAGAAACGCCAAAAAAACAAATTTAAACAAAGTAGCCAGAACTTAAAAAGGGATTGCTTTTTTGAAAAACATTATTAAACATTTTTCTCTTCCAATTAGTTCTTTTATCGATATCCGGCGTTATAGCAAAGGAGTCAATGTCAATCAATGATAAGCGTTTTTTTTTGTAATTTTTTCCACTTCTTTCTACAATCTAACTATATTTCTATGAATCAAAAATCCTAGAATATTCCCTTAACAAACTTCACGAAGATTTATGAAAATCCGAGTAATAGTTTAGGAAAATTAACCATTCATACCCCATTACAGAAGAATTTTATATATAAGATAGATAAATTTGGAGACGTTTTAAAAAGTACCTTTACCAATCAATTTTTTT